GGTTTCATCCCATCGGAGGACTACCCTCGAACGTAAGAGAGCCGGCGGATGTCCGCGTCTCCCAATTCGCGCCGCCGTGGCCGCCAGGAGCCCTGCCTGCCATGCGGATTGGACGTGGCTCAAGAAGATCCCTTTAATTGGGTGCCATTATAGGTAGTGGTATCGGTGGCCTCCCTCACTCTTTCCACGCAATACGATATTCTACGGGACCGGGACCCTCGTCGGGTCACAACCTTCCTGATTCCAATTATGCTGAGCGATATGGCCTCCGGCCCAAGTGTCCATGGTAAACCGGTCTATGGGTGCCAACTATTGCGGTCGTTTTTCTCTTCTTTTCTTCGTGCTCCGCGGTGCAGACGCTCTGGGACTGGGGGGGGGGGGGAGGCTGGCAAATGATAAGAGAGGCCAGGCTGAAGTGTTCTCGGCCGGCGCAGCGAGGCCATTAGTGCCAATGCAATTCGCCGGTTTCATCAATTCCCCTTCGAGCGCTTTCACGATTCACGAGGATCCACCTCGCGCCAGCAAGGCCGTTCAAATCGGGCCCGAGACGGCTTTCGTTATGGGTGAGGTTCTGCCTCCTGGTTCTGGAAGCGAGAGCCCACCTGCGAAACGCGACGCTACAACCGTTGGCTGATTGAAGGATAGGAGCACCTCCGACTCTCACCATCTTACTGAGCCAAATCCTACCGGACAAATCGGCGGCAAATCCATACGACTGGCACTGGAGGCAGCTGCGGTAGACGTAGCCGAGGTATACTATCTGAACGCCACACGGCACTTCCACTCCTTGAACGATTGGCATTAGACAAGGCTATCAAACTTGCATGGTGAGAGGCCTACCGTGTTCCCATCACTCCACCAAGTCCATGACCGTGCACCTCCTGGGGGCCGGTGGCGCCTTTGGAAGCCGCCATAAGATGCGTCAAAGCAATACGGGAGATATAATTCCCCCTACATCAACCTGATAGATCCGGACCCCTGAGTGCGACCAGACTACACGCCCGCTAACTGCTCGCAACCAAAAGGGTCGTGTTGCCATGAGTAATTCGTTCGTATTCGGCGGACACAATCATATTGGTCGTTACTGCTGACCCGGCTTGGTCTGGCTGACGAGACCAGACCGCTATGTTTCGTCGACCAAAGCCTGAGAAATTGAAGAAAACCCCGGTTTTACAAAGGTTGACCGGTGGGTGTGGCTCCTTTGCCCACGAACACCTTTGCTACTTGTCATCCCCCTGGTTATCATTACCCCCCTTGGGGGGGAATCTTTTAATGGCTCTATGCCCTGCCCCATAGCCGCAACATCATTTCCAGGTCCTATCATGCGTCGCCAATTCGCATGGGAGCCTTCCAGGCCATGCCGGCCTCATAGTCCATCTGATTCTCATGGTTCTGGTTTTTCGCCGCCGTGCTTCTGGGGAGTGCGCACCTGACCAAGTGGGCAATCCCGTAATCTTCGGATGCCTTCCTCCTGTTTTCCGTACACTCTTTGGGGTGCCTGGGAGCGGCTTGGGGGTACGATTTCGCTAACATTTTCGTCAGCATTTGGTGGACCGGGATTACCGCGGCCAACCTGGAGAAACCAGAACACCGCAGGCAGCTCCGAGATGCTCGGGGCCGCGGTGGGCCACCAAGATCCTCCGACAGCAACCACCTCTCATCAGGTAATAAGACCTGCTGACTTTGCCATATCCTCTCGATCCCCTAATGGATTAAGCCTCCCAAATATGCCAGGCAGTTTAGCCTTCACAAGTGCCAGGACTCCCTACCTCATCACGGAAGGGAAAACTGGGGATGAAATGTTTATCTCCATTGGAAAGCATCTTTAAGGATCATGAAACAGTGGAAACTGAGTGACGTTGCCGCAAGAGAGCATGACCACACTTTTCCTGGAGATTTTCCCCAGGCAATAGTCAAGGTGTTGTTGGCCAGGGGCATAGAAACGGCAGAGCAATTCAGATTTTTTCTGCAGCCCCCTCACCGGCTTCCTTACAGTCCGCTACGCCTATGCGGAATGGAAATGGCTCTCCATCGACTTGTGCGAATGATACATGCGGAACCTGATAGAGTTGGGAGCCGTACAGTCGGGATCGTTGGAGATTTCGATGTGGACGGAATTACCGGCACTGCCATTCTCGTTGAAGGCTTGTCGGATTTTGGTTTAGAGACTGTACCTTACCTGCCGCACCGGGTTTCCGAAGGCCATGGTTTATCTAACGAATCTGTGCGGTATCTGGCGAAACAGGGAGTGGAGCTAATAATTACGGTGGACTGTGGGGTTACTTCCATCGAAGAAACGAAGTTGGCCCGAAGCCTTGGGATGGATGTCATCATTACCGATCACCACACTCCGCCGCCCGATCCTCCACAAGCGACTGCAATTATCAATCCCGGGATGCCCGGCAATGAATACCCCTTCCCCCACCTCTGTGGGGCCGGATTGGCTCTAAAGCTCGTCGAGGGACTCTATCAACTACAGGGCCGCCCGCTGCCAGCCAGCCTGCTGGAACTATCCGCTCTAGGTACCATTGCAGACATGGTTCCGCTGAAAGACGAGAATCGATATCTGGTAAAGGCAGGGCTCCAACAATTAGGCCTGACGACACGCCCGGGTCTTAGGGCAATTTACCGGTCGGCTTCCCTGGAAGATAAAGCTATTACCGAGGAGACCGTGGCGTTCCAAATAGCGCCTCGCCTCAATGCCGCCGGGCGTATGGGCCACGCCCAAGACAGCCTTCAGTTGCTTACCACTCAAAGTGATTCTGAGGCAGACATCCTGGCCGCCCAGTTGGAGCGGCAAAACAGGGAACGACAAGATCTGACCCGAAAACTATTTGCGGAGACACACTCTCTTGTAGCCTCTCTCGACCCGTTGCCGCCCTTTATAATCGCCCAAAACCCTGACATTACCTCCGGTGTGGCGGGTCTGGTTGCCGGCCGCTTAAGCGAAATTTTTCAACGGCCTGCTGTCGCGCTGGCCCCTGTTGATGGAGAATTCCTCATTGGCAGTGGTCGTAGCATTCCGGCCTTCAACTTGATTGAGGCCTTAAACTCCTGCGCTGAACTGTTCATCCGCCACGGAGGACATAACCAGGCAGCAGGCTTCACCATTCCCCGGGAAAACGTCCCAAGATTAATTCCCCGACTAAACTCTATTGCCACCGAACAATTGGAAGGTGTGCCCCTCGAAGAAGCGCTGAACGTGGATGCGGAAATTGAGCTGAAAGATATTGATTCGAACCTGCTGGACTTCCTTAGACAACTGGAGCCCTTCGGAGTGGCCAATCCCAAGCCCATTTTCGTCACTCGCAATCTGAAAGTGAGGGAGAGTCGGAAGATGGGATCTCATGGGCAACACCTGAAGCTACTGGTTGGAGACGACCACGAACAATTCCCGGCGCTGGCCTTCAACCGCGCTGCTGAGTGGGTAGAATCAACGGAAAGGGTCGATCTGGCCTATACAATCAGCATAGATACTTGGAGAGGCAAAGAGACAATTAACTTGATGCTGGCAGACTTTGGGGCTTCGCAAAGTGACTCGATTTTGTAACCAATCGCCAATGAAGCTCCGGCTATTGGGCGCTGGCCTCACGCCTTCTCCCAGGGAAAGTTCTGCCATGCCGAATTCCTAATGAAGAATGGCTCGAAGTCCAGGAAGTAGTCTGCCCTGAAGTTGGTGGTGTGGCGGGTATAGATGACCGAGTAGCGCACGTCAAGTTTGTCATAGGGGGGACAACTGAAAATCTGGTCGCTAATGCGTTGGAATGCTTTCCCAGTATCATTGATTTCATCAACAACCAGCACACGATGGTGCCCTTCCAGCGTGTCCAGTAGAACATCGTTGTAAATGAAGTAGATTGGACGCTCAAAATGGTGGCAAACATGGGTTGCTGGCACCAAGCCTCCCCGAACAACGGCAACTATCGCATCGGGCCTCCAACCATCCGGAGTCGACTCGATCAGGTCACAAAGCGCCTCCACTCCCCGGCAGATTTCGTCATAGCTCACTTGACGGATCACCTGACCTGCCAAGCCGGTTGTCGACCTTCCTGCAGAATCCGCTATTTGACCATCCACGATTGCCCTCACTTCTTATCAGCTGATGCCCTGTTTTGGCGACCCGCTGGCTACCTTCCCGAGGTCCGTACAAATTGAGCCTTATATACGAGCAAGGGCACGGCGATGGCAATTACAACCAAGGAAACTAATTGAGCTTCGTTGAGCGCACCACCAAAATAGGTGTTGGACTCGATACGCAGGAAGCTGATAAAGAAACGACCAATAGAGTAGAGGGCCCCGTACAGGACAAAAGTCATGCCGCTAGGGCGAAGGCGGTTTCTCAAAGGCCAAATTATGGCAAGAATCACCAGATCCATGATCAGTTCGTAGGCCACTGCCGGGTGGCTGGCCGGACGGTAAGCTCCCGGACTGTTAATGTGAGAGTAAACGACCCCCCAGGGAAGGTCAGTGAACTTGGCCCAGTGCTCCCCGTTGATAATGTCGCCCAGACGACCGATAGCCATAGCGATCAGCAGCGCCGGCGCGGCAATATCGGCCAGGGGACACACACTGGGTAAGGGAGCCTTTTCCGGCTCACCTGCAAACCGAAAGTACTTCCCCCACAAGCTCAAGAACCATTCTGAGTTCCGAATTAAAATATAGGCCGCTCCGAATACGAACCCTCCTAAGATGGCCCCAAAGATAGCTATGCCGCCTTGCCACACCATGAAGATCCTGGCCGGATCAGCAGAATACAAACTCCAAAAGTCGATGACGTGGAGAACCCGGGCCCCCACTATTCCGCCGATAATACACCACACGGAAACTGATAATATTGCGTCTCCGTCCATCCCCTCTTTACGGCCCCAGCGAACGGCCAAGATTACAGCGGTTGCTACAGCTACAAACGTAAAGAAACCATGCCAGGACAAGAGGAAAGGACCGATATCAATAATGTATGGATTAAAGGGAATGTTGATAGCGCCAAAAGTAATCATTCGTTAGTTCTCACCACAGGAAAGAAATACATGAGTGTTCTTACTTTCTGAAAAAGCCACTGGGGAGGGAGTTCTATTGCGCCCCAAAGTTCGTACAAAATACGCCTTTGCACCGTGGGGTTGCAAGGCGTCGATTACCCGGGCATGTTCCTCTTGCGACGACGACATTAAGAACAGGGCAGGGCCAGCCCCGGTCAAGTGAGGGCGTCGTCCAGTCGCAGCTTCGACCGCATCAAAAACTTCCTGAAGACCGTTAAACTCCTCAAAAGCCACGGACTCAAAAGCGTTATGAAACAGCTCGTCGGAATAAAGACCAGACATCAGGTTCTGCACCAGCCACCGCGTTAATCCGCCGTCGCTGAAGTGGAAACGGGTTAATCGACTATACAACCGGGCCGTCTTGGCCTCCAACCTGATCCCTGGGCACACAAGTGTCAATCCGATACCGGGCTTCGTTGGTAGCGGTTCAACAGCATCCCCTCTTCCACTGGCCAGCGCCGCGCCAGCCCAAAGGAAGAAGGGAACATCAGAACCCAGTCCCGCGGCGACATCTACCAAGGATGCCAAGGGCAAGTCCAATTCCCAAAATTCGTTAAGCGCCAGAATTACGGCAGCCGCGTCACTGCTACCACCGCCCAAACCCATACCCACTGGAATGTGTTTCTTGATAGTTATAGATACAGTAGGAAGCCTGCCTGCCTTTCTGGCGAGATCAGCAGCAGCGCGCCAAGCCAGATTCTCTTTATCGTTTAAAGCAGGGTCGTTGCACTTCACGCTCAATGAATCGGAGGTGGCTATCTCGATCTCGTCCTCCAGATCTATGGCCTGCATTACAGTGCGAACCTCGTGGTACCCGTCAGACCGACGTCCCATTATTTCCAAACAGAGGTTCAGCTTTGCAAACGCTTTAACCAGCAAGCTTCTCTCCTGCCCTGGCAGAAAGCTGGTCTAAATTTTCCCAAGCTGAATAAACCGCTTCCCATTCTTTTAAGGCCAAGGTCTCTGCCCGCCTGGCCCCGTCGACTCTGGCCCTCTCCAGCATTCCTGTCACAGAAGCAGGGTTCACTCCCAAACCATGACTCAGGGAGTTGCGAAGTTGTTTGCGAGGTGCTGAGAATCCCGCCCTCACCAAGTGAAAGAAGGAATCGGGGGAGGATACCTCGACTGCGGGACTGTCCAAAAGGTCCAGTCGCACAACTGCGGATGATACCTTGGGAGACGGCCGAAATGCCGTAGGAGGAACAGCACAGACCAACCTGGTTCTCGCATAGAACTGGGTAGCCACGGCGAGCAGGGTCATCCCGCCGGGCGCGGCAGTCATGCTCTCCGCCACCTCTCGCTGCACCATTAACACCATGGTGGTTGGTGGACATTCACACTCGAGAAATCGGCGAACAATGAAATTGGCAGCATAGTAGGGCAGGTTGGCTACCACTTTGTAGGTTGTGTGATTGCCTATCAACTGGGATAAGTCTACGGTTCGCGCATCAGCTTGCACGACAGCCAAGTTGGGGGGGTTGCCGAGCTTGGCAGTAAGGGATTCGGCCAAGCGCTCATCCAGTTCCACCGATATTACCCTTTTCAACCTTGGGTAAAAGAAGGCGAGTAAGTGCGCCCCTGCCGGGGCCAACCTCCAACACCACATCGTCACATGCCAAATCAGCAGCAACCACAATCCGGTTCAGGATGCGGTTATCAGCAAGAAAATACTGCCCGAGGGACTTGCGGGGTTTGGCAGAATGCGGCGGCGAACTAGAAAAGGCAGTCACAACGAAAGCAATAAAACCTCATGTAAGAGACCGCGCACCCCCCGTTGACGAAAACCCTATGGGCATATCTGGTGCTTCAACTCAGTCCAGGTGTTCCCACGGCACCCGCAGGGACCTGTTTACCGTTGCTTCCTCTCGGACCTGGCGGGGTTCACAAGCCTGCGCCGCGTGGGACCCGGCCATCAACGTTGTAAGCCTCCAATAGCGGCCCAACAGGTTTGGCCTAAGAGGGGAATTCCACCCCGCTATAGCGGATTGCGGGTACAGGGCACCGCTAGCTCCCCGCCTAGCACGGTCTCCTATTAGATGTTAGGGTAGTGCCGCAACACTGTCAAATATCCCTGCCCGTTCATGGACGACCAAATAGCTCCCTCTGGGGTGCCTTCTTGACCTAGTCGTTGTCCTGAAATATTTGATTGGTCTATGCTTGGAATTATCTTCATGGATTCGGCGTTTCTATCATGAGTCGTGGTTGCATCTCACATGACTAGCTGACGGGACCACAGGCTGGGGCACGAATAACAATCCAAAGCGCCTAATGTTAGAATTAAAGCCAAAGGAGATTGCAATGCAAGTTAGGAAGGCCGTCATTCCCGCGGCGGGCTTTGGGAACTCGGTTTCTGCCCATCACCAAGTCGGTACCCAAGGAGCTGTTGCCCATTCTGGATCGGCCAATGCTCCAATACGTGGTGGAGGAAGCAGCAGAAGCGGGAATTGAAGAAGTTATTATTGTTACGGCCAGAGGAAAGGAATCAATTGCCGCTTATTTTCAACCGCGGCCGGAATTGGAAGCCCGCCTTGCGGATACCGGGGCAACTGACTTGTTGAAAATGGTCAAGTACGTCTCAGGATTGGCTGATGTTTCCTTTGTAATACAGGATGAACCCCTGGGGTTGGGACACGCAGTCCTGACCGCTAAAGAAAAGGTCGGTGAGGAACCGTTTGTAGTTATTCTCCCCGACGATATAGTGGACCATCAGCCGGGCGTCATTGCGCAGATGCTGGAGGTCGCCAATCGTCACGAGGCCGCCACGGTGGCAGTAGAACAGGTCCCGTGGGAAATCGTCCATAATTACGGGGTGGTCGATGTAGAACCTACCGTAAACAGCGGTACTCATCTGGTCAGGCATTTGGTCGAAAAGCCGGAAAGGAGCGAGGCGCCATCAAATTTAAGCATCGTTGGGCGCTACATCCTTCCTCCTCAAATATTCCAGTGCCTGGAACACACTCCTCCTGGAGCAAAAGGGGAAATTCAGCTCACCGACGGCATACAGCTATTGTTGGAGCGCCAGGATGTCTATGCCTACGAATTTCATGGCACCCGCTATGACGGAGGAACTCCCCTAGGCTTGCTGAGAGCCTCGCTGGAATTCGGTTTGGCACGCGAGGACATGGCAGATTCGGTGCGCGCGCTCCTTGATTCGTTGCAACCCAATAATTAATGAAAGCCAATGCCGTTGACGCGCTTGGACCTGCAGGAAAGCTATCCCGTCGAGGACAGGAAATCTCTGCCGCCGTACTCCTGCTCCTGTATATCGTTGCCATCGTTGTTTCTCTCAATGCCCGACTCTCAGCCATTGGAGACATGTGGATCAGAGTGCCCATTGTCCTCCAAGGTGAAGAGTTGCTGGTTTTTACTTCTTCTGCAGGGCGAAATTGGCAATTCATACAGTATGAGGCCACCCTGGCGTCAAGCATGTTGATTGTTGCCGCAGCTGCAATCGTTTTCCGTGTTTTTTCGGACTATGAGCCTACACTGGCTCTGATCGGGTCTTTCATGATGGTGGGCGCTGCTTTATTCGCCGGGCTATTCGCTATTGCGGGATTAATTCTGGCCCAAGGGTACATAGGACCAGTAGTTGTTCAAGACGATATGGAACAGATTTTCGGATCCCGGGAATTATATGACGTATTTGTACCCATTCTCATATTGTCAGAAAAGATATGGCTGACTTTCGCGGCCCTGGGCGGCATTGCTTATGGCGCTCTGATTGCCTGGACCAGGGCTATGCCTCGGTGGCTGGGCTGGGTGGGAATAGCCGCCGCACTTCTCTTGCTTCTAATTTGGGTCGAGAGCATTGGCCTGATGAAAATGGATTGGCAGAGACCTTCATTGGTCTGGATTCCTACCAACAACCATATGGGCCTTTGGGGAGGAAGCGCTTGCCTGATCTGGCTGTTATTGTCGGCGGTACGGTTAATGATCAAGGGAACAGACATTCCAACAACAGAAATAAGAGCCTCGAAACGGGAGAATATAGATGCTTGAACTACTGCTGGCACTGCACATCTTGTTCGCCATATGGCTGATGAGTAACCTCATCACTTCAGCTTATTGGAAGGCCAGAGCCGATCGCAGCGGCAATCCGGAGCAAGTGGCGACAACTGCAGAAGCCTTGGCGCGGTCAGACTTGATGTTCACGGCCCCTGGCATTGCGGGAGTGCTGGTTACCGGAGTCTGGATGGGTGGGATTACCGGTTGGGAGCGCTTCCAGAGAGCCCTGGTTGGCAATCTCATTTATCCTGACCATTTTGATGGCTGTCCTGTGGTTGGCGGTGCTTATGCCTCAGGCTCGCCGCATGGCCCGCTGGTCAAGAGACCACGTAAATGGGAGTCCACACATAGAGAGATACCGGCGGGCTGGCAAGATATGGAGCATTACAGGCGGTATCGTTACTCTCATCCCGGTGATCATTCTATTCTTGATGGTTTTCAAACCATGAACCGGCAGGTTGCCAGCGAACCGACTTATCACGCGTTGGAAAGCCAACAACAGCTTGGGAGACGTAAATGACTTCGGCCAAAGACCAACACTTGAAAAACGTGAGTGAAATCCGCGCCGAACTGCTTGAGCTACTTGGCGCAATTGGCGACGATCTGGACTGGAGGCCCGACGAGGAATCGTGGTCAGCACGTGAAGTCTTCACCCACATGCTTTACACACCACCCGGTGGCGTTCCGCAGATACTGAAGGGTATGCAGGCGGGGACCGTAAAGGAATACGACCTGTGGGCTGACCAGAAATACATGACCGAAGAGGCACAGGGTTGGACTCTTGCGCAGGTCAAAGACCAGTTCACTGCCTACTTTGATACTCTGGAAGCGGAACTTGGCCCACTATCAGATGTCGTCCTCGAAGAAACCACGGCTTTGGTTCATCAGCGAAATCGCCATTGGGATGAGTCACGGCCGGCCCAATGGCTAGTGGAACGGCTTTTCGCGGGACACTGGCGGGACCACCTGGTCCAGCTAAGGGAACTGGCAGAGGATTCAAAGGGTGAGTAAGCTAGCGAGGCAAAGGCGCAAAACTGGGCAATTAGTTTTCACTTCCGATTCCCAATAGGCTCAAGAATGCTTCCTGAGGCACTTCCACCCGGCCCACGCTCTTCATTCGTTTCTTGCCCTCTTTCTGCTTTTCAAGCAGCTTTCTCTTGCGGGTGATGTCACCACCGTAACACTTGGCGAGCACATCCTTGCGCAAGGCACGTACCGTTTCACGGGCTATTACGCGACTCCCGATGGCTGCCTGAATCGGCACCTCGAATAGCTGTCTGGGTATAGTGGTTCTCAGCTTTTCGACAAGGCTGCGCCCGTGGACCACTGCCACGTCCCGATGGACGATCATGGAAAGTGCTTCCACCGGCAGGTGATTAATAAGGATATCCACCCGGCTCAAGGGTGCCACTCGGTAGCCTTCAAAGGTGTAGTCCAGGGAGGCATAACCTTGGGTCTTGGACTTGAGCTGGTTGTAAAAATCGGCCAGCATTTCTGACAGCGGCATAGTGTATTCCATGACCACCCTGGTCTGTTCTTCCTTGGCCTCGCCACCGTCTCTCGCCGTTATGCCCTGAATATACTCCATGCGCTTGAAATCGGAGCGTCGCGTGTGCATTAGCTCCATAATCGCGCCAACGTGTCTGTTTGGAGCAACTATTGTCAGACCCAAAATCGGTTCCTGTATTTCCTTCAGTTCATTCGGGTCGGGCAGCTTTGAAGGATTATCAACACTAATAGTTGCGCCATTCTGAAGAACGACCTGGTAAGCAACGCTGGGCGCGGTCACTATCAGGTCCAGGTCATATTCCCGCTCAAGCCTTTCCTGGACTATCTCCAAATGCATCAGACCGAGGAAGCCGCACCGGAAGCCAAATCCAAGAGCCCTGCTGCTCTCCGGTTCCATAGTCAATGATGCGTCGTTCAATCGGAGCTTTTCCAATGCAGCCCGCAAGCTGTTGTATTCTTCTCCATCGGAAGGATAAAGGCCGGCGAACACCATGGACTTGAGTTCAACATAGCCGGGCAGCGGTTCCGACGCAGGCCTGTTGTTGTTGGTTAAAGTATCGCCAACGCTGCATTCCTGAACATCCTTGAAACCGGTGGCTATGTATCCAACTTGCCCGCTGTACAGGGCGTCCACTGCCTTAGGAAACGGAGAAAATACCCCCACTTCCATAATCTCGGCCACCCGTCCCGAGGACATGACCAAGACCTTGTCGTTCTTGGAAACCTGTCCGTCCTCAACTCTGACGTGAGCTATGATTCCTTTATAGGTGTTGTAGACAGAATCAAATACCAGCGCTCTAAAGGGACCCTCAGTGTCTCCTGAAGGCGGTTGCAACCGTTCAACGACAGCATCCAGAATGTCCTGGGCCCCCGTACCTTCCTTGGCGGAAGCGTAAAGAATTTCGTCTTCCCTGAAGCCGAAAACCTGCTGCAACTCGCCTGCTACCCTGGCGGGCTCGGCTTGCGGCAGGTCCACCTTATTGACGACAGGAATAAGATCAAGGTCGTATTCCATCGCCAGCAACGTATTAGCGATGGTTTGCGCTTCAATTCCCTGACTTGCATCTACCACCAGGAGCGCGCCTTCACATGCGGCCAGAGCTCTGGAAACTTCGTAACTGAAATCAACATGGCCGGGTGTGTCAATGAGGTTGAGTTGGTAAACCCTTCCATCACGCGCCTTGTGACGCATGGCCACTGCCTTGCCCTTGATAGTGATTCCCCGTTCGCGTTCCAGTTCCATCTGGTCCATGAACTGGGCTTTCATTTCCTGGGGACGTACCGTTTCGGTAATTTCCAGAAATCGGTCGGCGAGGGTGGATTTGCCGTGGTCAATGTGTGCGATTATGCAGAAGTTGCGGATAAGTTGAGGATTCATAACCTAACCATAGTAACACGCTGTTGTCAGCAGTAACAACAATAATTAGAGCGTGGCGTCGGGAGAGAATACGGATAGATCATCGTACCCTAACCGCGGAAAATCGACTTAAGTAAGCCCTATTCCCGTCCGGAGATTGGGCAGGCTATCCAAGAACCGACCTATTCTTAAGGAACTTGTCGCGGAATTAAGGATAGCTACATCAGGCACCAAACCCTTCGTCAACCTGAACCTCTAATGAACCAAAAAGAAAGGGCCGGCGCGAAGCCGACCCTCTGTTAGGATGTCAACCTGCCAGTCAGGGAATTAGTATGGCCCATAACCCGGACTCTGAATACAAGCTGCCCAGTGGTCAGTACCTACCTCACGCAACTCCGGTACTACTGCCTGACAACTGTCTATTGCAATGGGGCAGCGGGGGTGGAATACACAGCCGCTTGGCGGGTTCAGAGGACTGGGAACCTCACCACTGAGAAGGATACGTTCACGCTGAGCGTCAATAACCGGATCAGGAATGGGCACAGCCGAAAGCAGGGCCCTCGTATAGGGGTGCATCGGACTCTGGTAAATCTCGTTCCGGTCTGCAATCTCCACAATGTGGCCCAGGTACATCACTGCCACCCGGTTGCTGATGTGCCTGACCACGGAAAGGTCATGGGCTATGAAGAGGTAGGTCAGGTCGAACTGTTCCTGCAGGTCCTCCAGCAGATTTACGATCTGGGCCTGAATCGACACATCCAGAGCAGATACGGGCTCGTCGCACACTATGAAGGAGGGATCCACGGACAGGGCTCTGGCTACCCCAATGCGCTGTCGCTGGCCACCGCTGAACTCATGGGGGAAACGGTCCGCCATATAGGGATTCAACCCTACGTTCTGCAGCAATTCCGAAACCCTGTCTCGGTACTCCTCCTTGCTGTTCACCAACCCGTGAACTATCAGGGGTTCTCCGATGATATTGCCGGCAGTCATCCGGGGGTTTAGCGAGCTGTAAGGGTCCTGGAAAATGACCTGCATCCGCCGACGCATGACCCGCATTTGCCGGGTAGACATGCCCGTCAACTCTTGGCCGTCAAAATAGACCTCACCGCCGGTAGGTTTGTACAATTGCAATATGCAGCGACCGGTCGTCGTTTTGCCGCATCCGCTTTCTCCCACCAGACCAAGGGTCTCACCTCGGCGTACGAAAAAGCTTACATCGTCAACTGCCTTAATCTGAGCAACTGCCCGCTGGATGATGAGCCCGGCAGTGACCGGGAAATGCATTTGAAGGTTCCTGACCTCGAGCAGAATGTCGGTATCCGGGTTTGCCCCGCTGCTGCGCTGGCCTGTATCAGTCATTGTAGTCATGTTGTCATACTCTCCGCAGGCTAGTTTTCTTCACTCGATTCTGAATCGGCAACCGCAGTGCCATTGGTGGATCCTTCAATCTCGTCAGGATCAAGCACGAATTCCAACGCAGAGGACCCCAACTCATCGGAACGCCAGCATGCCGACCAGTGACCTTCGTTCATCAGCATTAGGGGAGGAGCGTCTGTGGCACACTTGTCCACCGCCCAACGGCACCGGTCACGGAAGGAGCAACCTTCAGGCAGATTAATCAAGTCAGGCGGTTGACCTTCAATCGGATCAAGCTTTGCGCGCCTGGGAAGATCCAGCCGAGGCACGGACTTGAGAAGACCCACAGTGTAGGGATGCCTCGGGTTGGCGTAAACCTCTCTCGCAGTTCCCCGCTCGATGATCTTGCCGGCATACATGATATTCACGCGGTCAGCGTAGCGGGCCACCACTCCAAGGTTGTGGGTAATTACAATCAAGGATACTCCGAACTCACTAGTAAGTGACTTCATCAACTCCAGTATCTGGGCCTGAATCGTCACATCAAGAGCGGTAGTCGGCTCGTCAGCAATAATAAGCCTGGGGTTGCAGCTCAAGGCCATCGCAATCATCACCCTCTGCCGCATTCCGCCGCTGAACTGGTGAGGATATTGCCTGATGCGCCGTTCGGCGTCTGGTATACCCACACGCGCTAATAAGTCTATCGATTCGTTTCTGGCTTCTTCGCGGTTCATCCCCCGGTGCAACTGTAGTGTTTCACTGATTTGCCTCTCGAGAGTCAGCACAGGATTCAGCGAGGTCATGGGCTCCTGAAATACCATTGACATCTTGGCGCCTCGGATACGCCGCATGTCGTCCATGTCTATTTTTAAGATGTCCTCGCCTTCGAAAAGCAATTCGCCGGCCATGATCTTGCCAGGCGGGTCTGGAATCAAGCGCATGAGTGAGAGCGCGCTCACGCTCTTTCCACAGCCGCTTTCACCTACAAGACCCAGGGTTTCCCCCTCTTCAACCTCGTAGGAAACACCGTCAACGGCCTTAACAACCCCCTCAAAGGTGAAGAAATGTGTCCTAAGGTCTTTAACTTCCAGAAGCGTAGCCAACTGCCCTCCACCCGGCGACAAATTCAGAGACTAATTTGGATTCTGCGCCGGTCTATAATTGATTGGCCCTTACCGAGCCTTTTATTGGTTCTTGCAATGGTGGGGAAGGGGAGACTCGAACTCCCACGCCTTTCAGCACATGATCCTAAGTCATGCTCGTCTACCATTTCCGACACTCCCCCGATCAACAAACCCCTTTTTATGCACTTTTGAGACTGGTGACCCGCCTCGGGGTCGAACCGAGAACCTACGGATTAAGAGTCCGTTGCTCTGCCAGTTGAGCTAGCGGGCCAGCCCTAGCGAGAACACATTTATAGCGTTCTCAAGTTGGGAAAGCCTATCAACAGTATCCCTTTTTTGTCAATAGAACTGCCTATCTGGCTCACTAGGAATACCTGGGTTGCTTGACGATCAAATTGAAGGACCTTGCTATACCCCATGATCCAGCCTTTCAATCAGGCTCCTGGGAAGACCCGCTTGCCTCATTTTCTCCTGAGTGCTGGTTCTGTCGTATTCAACGCGGTGCCGCTCAAGAGCGCCCTTTTGCTCATTTTCTACTCTTGAGAACAGGGCGTAACTTGGTCTTGGGTCATAGTCACGGGGCTGCCCGACACTTCCAGGATTGGCAATCCAGCGCAATTCATCCAGAGGGAATACCCCATCCTCGGTGAACTCTACGAAACTGGGGCCGTCCCGGTTCTCCCTGCAAAGGAACGGTAGATGGGAGTGACCAACCAGGCAAAAGGCGGTGGTCAATCTGGCAAAAGTACTCGCGGCGGCCTCTTCGTTCAACAAGTACTCCCGCAAGGGTGCCCGCAAACTACCGTGGACCAGTGTAAAGTCGCCCGATGTGGCCACCTCAGGCAGGCCGGACAGGAAAGTCCGATGCGCTTCCGAAAGCTGTTGGCCTGTCCAAACTGCAGAATAGGCCGCCGCATTATTGAAGTCGGCACTGTCTTCTACGTTCAACGCGGCTCGGTCATGGTTGCCCGCCACTGAGACCAAGGGGTAGCCTTGAAGGAGCTCAAGGCAAGCTCCGGGTTCGGGGCCATAGCCTACCGTGTCGCCAAGGCACCAGATTTCGTCAAAACCGCCGCGCCGCTGAGCGTCGGCAATAACCGCTTCCAGAGCCGTCAGGTTGGAATGTATATCGGAAACTATCAGGGCTCGCATTTCGCTCCTGGACCATCATTGATGGCAGCCGCGCTCCAAATTGACAGGATACCCATTGCGCATTAGCCTGCCAGAAGGTAAGGCTAGATTATAGCAATTTCCCAAGGCTTGGCCGAGGAACGAACCCACTTAAAGACAGTACATCAGCCTAGTCCAATCTACCACTTCCATAACCACAGGAAAAAGGAGGATGCATGAACGCCGGTAAACCCACAATTTCCATAGTTGCCACCGGAGGAAGCATAGCCGGCGTCGGTCCTGACCGTCTTGACTATATTCTTTATCCTGAATTGGGAGAGCACATAACCATAGAACAGTCGCTTGAGCGGATTCCGGAATCTGAATTCCTTGCCCAAGTTGAGCCTGAGGACTTGATAAGTGTGGGCAGCACCGCCATCGGACCAGAAGAATGGCTGAAGTTAACCAAACGTATAAATTCTCTTCTGGCTAACGACCAAATTGACGGAGTCGTGGTTACTCACGGTACAGCAACTCTGGAAGAGACAGCCTATTTTCTTCACCTAACTGTCAAGTCTGAGAAGCCGGTGGTGCTGACGGGAGCAATGCGCCCCCCAACCGCCATTGGCACCGATGCCGACCTGAACCTGCTGGACGCCATCAGGGTGGCAGCCAGCCCGATTTCCTTCGGCAAGGGAGTGCTGACGATTCTGAATAACGAGATTCAGTGCGCCCGCGACGTGGTAAAGACCAACACCTTCCGTGTTGAAACCTTCAAGCCCAATGAACTGGGATTCCTGGGCTACGCAGATTCCGACGGCGAGGTTGTGTTCTACCGGGCGCCGCTACGAAGGCACACAACTACCACCGAGTTCCAGGTAGACGAAATGAATACCCTACCCCGGGTGGATATCGTTTACTGTTATGCCGGTTCAGATGAGTTGCTTATCAACGCAGTACGGTCCAATCACTCAGACGGCCTGGTGCTGGCCGGGTTTGGTGGGGGAAGCTTTCCGCCCAAAGCGATAGAAGCAGCGGCGCAGGCAGTGGCAGAGGGAATTCCGGTGGTACTGGCCTCCCGTTCCATCGCCGGAAGGGTTGTAATGACACCGCGAAAAGAAGAGCAGCAATTTATCGCCTCCGATAACCTGCAACCGCAGAAGGCACGAATATTGTTGATGCTGGCCTTGACTGCTACCAGGGACAGAAAAGCCATACAAAGAATGTTTGGAGAATACTGACCCTCTTCGGCCACCTCGGTCTGCTTCAGACCTATTTACTGCCAGAATTTGCAATCTATTTCCTGGCAAGCAATCGGTGTATAATCAGCTACAATTTCCCCGATAATTTTGGCAAATTTGGCCATTGGATTAACCCTTATCGAGTAAGGCTGATAGAGGTAGGTGACGACTTTGGCAGCAACCACAGCAGTGGCCCCCCAGATGGGTCAAGAAGGTCGAACCAAAGACTCGGTGATGGCCACAACCGTCATCGGGGCCCACGCCTTTGAACACTTTTACGCGCACACCATTCCTTTTTTGGCAGCCATTATCGCAGCTGACCTGGGACTTGGTGCGTTTCAAGTAGGCCTTATCGTCGTTGTGCGGTCGATTTTTGGCGGAATAACCAGTACCGTTGGCGGCTTTCTGGTTGACCTGTTCCATCACCGGGTATCATGGGTGTTGTCCATCAGCGCCTTCAGCATCGGCGTCGGTTATCTGGTGATGTCGATTGCTCCCACTTACGTCTTGATTCTGGCAGCCTTGGCCTTGGGGTCTATGGGCAGCGCCCTTTGGCATCCTCCAGCCCTGGGGTTGCTGGCCCGGCGTTTCCCCGAGCGCAGGGGATTGTTCATCTCAATGCACCGGTCCATGGGCAGCATAGGTGATGTGCTGGGGCCGATGGTGGCCGGCGCTTTGGTCGCCGGGGCCCTAGCCTGGACCCTCAGCAGTGGCGGCGTAGAAAGTGATCTGTTCGCCTGGAAAATGCCTTGGGATGCTATCAGTTGGCGATTGGTTCTGGGCTTTAGCACCCCTATTATGTTCACTTCGAGCGTCGTGATCTTCTTCCTCTTGCGTAACGCGGGTGGAGCGAAGCCGGAAGATTTTGACCTGGGTAAACGGGTCAAAGACAACTGGGCGGGGATGAAGGATGCCTTTCGTGGGACCGGAATGTGGGCTATCTTCACTGTTTCGGCAGTTCGGGGCATGGCCGACCGTTCTTTAGTATTCCTGGTGCCTCTATACATGATTCAAGCCTTGGGAGTTGGTCCATTTCAGGCGGCATCTCATGTGGCTCTAATGGTAGGTCCCGGAATTATTGCCGGGCCATTGATAGGAGCCCTTTCCGACCGTATTGGAAGGCGGGCCATAATCATATTCGTAATGGCCGTAACGACGGTGCTAACTCTGGCGATTATCTGGAGCGGCCAGCAAACGGGCGAGTACAACTATTGGATAACGCTGTTCGTATCAATGTACGGTATACTGAATTTCTCGGTAAACAATCTGACTCAAGCCGCCGCCGCGGATATTGCCGCCGGCAGAAATCTTGAGTCCAGCTTCCTTGGTTTGATGTGGGGAAACAACACGTTCTTCGGCGCGGCTGCGGCTCTGGTGATTTTCGGTTCAGTGGAATGGTTTGACCAGAACAACCAGGGGTGGCAGTACGGTTTCTACATTACGGCAGCCTTTTACTTTATTGGCTTGCTGGCGTCACTGCTCATTCCCGGAAAGCCCAAAGAGGCGTTGCAACCCGCATAACATTCCGGCTACGCAGAGTCTTAGCCGAACCAATTAAGGGCGGGAATATTCCCGCCCCTTTCTTTTTGTATGCAATTTAGACCAATTCTTTAAAAAGCTATTGACAAGTATTATGAGACGTGATAACTTGTTTATAGAGCAAGTCGGGCATGAATGCCAAGACTGTTCCGAAATCCGTAGCTAAGGAGTGGACTGTGGTAAAAGTTCGAAAACTCGACCTAGCGTGATTTCCCTTGTAACATCCCTGCCGGCTCGGAAGGGAATGTGTGACCCGCAGAGGGGATGCATCCGTACCGGCAGGGAAAAGACGAAGAAAGTAAGTCCCGCGCAAATATCAAGTGAACTAACATCCTTGGTTGATGCCTCAGGAAGGGTACATCCGGTTAAGTGTGCCGGAACAGCGGGACTACTAAGCGAAAGCAAATCAGGGCCCGGTAGGCTTACCGGGCCCTGATCATGTTTGCTGAATCGGTTGAATGGGAATCTAGGCTCTCTTAATTATCAGCCCAGATTCTCCAGGGCTTCGCGATATTGTTCCGGGGTATTGAGGTCCCAAAGAACTCTGGTGTTTCCATTTCAATGCGGCTGGTCCCTGCCTGATGGCGTCTGACCACCTCCCTGATTCCCTGGGTTTCCTCCGTAATTCTGCCCAGTTCGTCCAGCAAAGCCCCGTCAAACACTCTACGGTGTCTTCACGTATGTAGGGATAGTAATCAATGAGGGGCTGCTCCTGTGTTGTCGCAATAAGTAGCCCACCGTATCAGAGCTGCGGGGTTGGTCCACGTTCAACAAGAGCAGGGTCTCTGGCAGGCTATCTTCCAACGTCTCACGCACTTTAAGACCGCCCCGAGATAGCGTAGTTTTCCTCGATCGCGGCAGGTAATCGGAATTCAGCACCCATTCAACATTGCGCTCACCCTGCACCTTTGGAACCAATTCCTCATGGCCGGTGAGACACAGGCAGGACAGGACATCACAATCTACCGATCCACGGAATAGGACATCAATCGCGGTGTGGGTCGCATCGGCCAATTCGGTTACCTGGTGAACCACAAGAGAACGGCCCTGCCAGGGTAGCAGGGCCTTAAGTTCACCCATTCTTCGGGATTCTCCCGCGGCCAATAGTATGGCTGCAATTTCAGGCATTTTTTGCTATTAAACCAGTTAACCCTTTCTAGTTTTGTACGGCTTTCCGTTCCTACACTTCTATGGCGTCTTGGAACCGATCGGCAACCCGGTCAATGTACCAGTCGTCCATACGCAAGGCGCCTCTTGCCACCCCGCGGCGTCGCGTCGCGCATAATATCGCTGTCAATAATCTCTGCCATAATACTGACGGCCAGTTCCTCCGGTTGCAGCCCCCCCCACCCCTACTCCAGCCAACAGGAAGGTTGGACTCCTTAAGCCTTTCCAAAGGAACGCCCTGGTTCAGTAGGCGCCGGTAAATCATCAGATTCTTTCTCATACCTGACCCATCAGCCGCCGATCTTTGCTTTGTACCGAGGGGAGCCCTGGTTCTTAAAGCCGCCGATGTCCCAACGCCATTCGTCAAAAAACGGTGCCCCTGGTAGCGACCACGATGAAAGTATTTACGTTAATTGTCAATTTCTCGAACCAGCGGTCATAGCTGGAGACTACCGTCTGCTCGGCATAAGGGAAGCGCTCAGAATTTGCGAATTCTGGGCGGTCGTCTACCACGAATACTCGATAGCCAAGCGAGTTCGCCAAGTCGGCAGTCGCCTTTCCCACGTGACCACCACCAATTACCGCTAGAGTAGGCGGAGTTGTGAATCCCTCGACAAAAACTTCGGTGCCATCTTCGGTGACGAAACTCTCGTTGGACCCTACATCTGCAACTTGCTGGGCTACCCTCACAGCCTTGTCATCCAATTCAACGCTGCCCAAGGTACCGGAAACTGTGCCATCCACTTTGAGAATCAGCTTGGCCCCCAGGTTAATTCCGCCATCAGGCACGTTGACTACCGTGGCCAAACCTACCGGGTCGCCTCCCTCGTAAGCGTCAATAAGCTGACTACCAATGTCCACGAAGGCCGAAGGCTCCCACATGGGTTCCAGGTAAAAGTACATCGTGCCGCCGCAAACGAGACCGTCCCGGGCGGCGATATCTTCGTTCAAGAAATAGTCTTTAAATTCGGGGCCGCTGTGGTTACGCAACATTTCTTTGGCCGCATACCAAATATCGCCTTCAACGCAACCCCCACCCAACGTGCCTACACCGGTCCCATCCTGCCTGACCAGCAGCATGGATCCAGATTTCTGGGGAGTTGAGCCCTTGGTACGCACTACAGTAGCCAGTACGCAAGGGTTCTGGTCTTCAAGCTGCCTTACCGCTTCTTGAATAACTTCTTTCATCGTCTGCGCCTCAAGTTACTAGCAATTATACCTATGGACTGCTGAGCTGGTATTTGCTATTGGTAACCGTCTAAAGCTTACCAAATTTTACTTCCACTAACAATTCGCGGAGCACAGTTATGGCTCTAATTCGTAGCAACTCTGCTAGGCAATAGATTCAGTATCAGATATAATATGTTAACTGTATGACTAGGGTTGCGATCACGTCAGCCGACCTCCGCAATTCCCGCCGTTACGTTGAAATCATGGAGAATTTAGGGGCGGAAGTGTGCTTGTTGCTGCCCCCCGATGAGCGACCGGCACATCGTATCCTCGAGGGGATCGGGGGGCTGATGCTGACCGGCGGACCGGATGTCGATCCGGCGCTCTACGGTGCTGAGCCAGATCCCGACGCCAACCTCGAGTTATGTCGACCGCTGGATGACCTGGAATTGCGCCTCCTACACTTTGCCTTGGATCGCGACATGCCGGTGCTGGCAATCTGCCGCGGCATGCAGTTGCTCAACGTGGCCTGTGGAGGTCGGCTCATCCAGGATCTTTCCGGACACAAGGCAGTACGCGCGGACGGATGCTGGGAACCTGAAAAACACCTCATATATATGGCTCCGGGGGCTAAATCAGCGGCTATTGTCGGCAGCGCAGGATTCTTTCGCGTCAACAGCCTCCATCACCAGGGATTGAGGGAGGCCCATAGAGCGCCGAATTTAATGACCAGCGCATACTCTGTCGAAGATGGACTGATTGAAGGACTGGAAAGCCCATTCCATAGCTGGGTAATTGGCTTGCAGTGCCACCCTGAACGACAAGATGAGGTTCCACGAAGTTTCGCGAATCTGTTTGCTGGTTTTTGCGAGCGAGCGGAAATGTACCTGGCCAATAACGGCAAAGGGTAATTGTCAGAGCCGGACTTCGCCGGCCTGATATTCCAAGGAGAGAGATTATGGTAACTTCAGCACCCGTACCCCCTTCACGTGGCATCAGACCAATTCGCATTGAAGAGGAGATGCGGAATTCATACTTGAGTTACGCCATGAGCGTAATCGTCTCCCGAGCCTTGCCTGACGTACGGGACGGGCTGAAGCCGGTGCAACGCCGCATCCTTTATGCCATGCACGAAATGGGTATGCGCCCCAACCAAGCACACCGGAAGTGCGCGAGAATTGTTGGCGAAGTCCTGGGCAAATACCATCCCCATAGCGACACGCCGGTATACGATGCCCTGGTTCGCATGGCCCAAACCTTTTCAATGCGCTACCCCTTGATTGACGGTCAGGGAAACTTCGGAAGTGTTGACGGGGACCCTCCGGCAGCCATGCGATATACCGAGGCCCGCCTGGCAGCCATAGCCGAAGAACTGCTGGCTGATATTGACCTGAACACCGTGGATTTCTCCCTTAACTTTGATGACTCCCTTCACGAGCCCCAAGTGCTACCCAGCCGTTTGCCCAACCTGCTAATCAACGGTGCAACCGGCATCGCCGTGGGGATGGCCACCAACCTCCCGCCTCACAATTTGGGAGAAATCTGTGACGCAGTCTGCCACGTTATCGACCAACCCAACTGCGTCACCGAAGACCTCATTAAGCTAATACCGGGACCGGATTTCCCGACCTCAGGTTACATTCGTGGCACCCAAGGCATCATTGATACTTACACCACCGGTCGCGGCCGAATTGTCATGGAAGCCAAGACCGAAATTGAGGAAATCAGAGGTGGCCGCCAGCGAATAATTGTTACCGAGTTGCCCTACCAGGTTAACAAGGCCAATTTAGTTGAGAAGATCGCACAACTGGTACGCGACAAGCGTGTTGAGGGAATCTCCGATATACGAGACGAATCGGACCGCCAGGGAATGCGAGTCGTCATTGAACTGCGCCGCGATGCCCAGGCCAACATAGTCCGAAACAACCTGTATCGTCACACCGCCCTTCGCTCTACATTTAATACCATAATGCTGGCCCTGGTGGCGGGACAGCCCCAGGTATTACCTTTGAAGCGAATGCTAACCCTGTTCGTCGAGCATCGTCAGGAGGTAATCCGCCGGCGCTCCGAACACCTGCTGCAACGTGCGCGCGACCGGGACCACATCCTCGAAGGCTTGCTCCTTGCCCTGGACGTGATGGACCAGGTAATAGTCATAATTCGTACCTCCGACGACGCCGAGGCCGCCCGAACTAACTTGATGGACGAATTCGACCTTTCCCAAGCCCAGGCTCAGGCAATTCTGGACATGCAGCTTCGCCGCCTTGCCGCCTTGGAGCGGGAACGGCTGCAAAACGAGCACGAAGAGTTGCAGAAGACGATCGCGTCTCTGGAAGCGTTGCTTGGTGATACAGCCAAGATTCTCAACGAAATAAAGAAGGAAACGAGAAAGCTTAAGAAGGACTTTGGGGACGCTCGACGTACAGAAATTGACCCAATGGAAGTCGGAGAACAGTCCGCCGAGCAGTTCATACCACACCAGGACGTGATGATTACCCTGAGTCAGAAGGGTTTATATCAAGCGCGTTCCCTGCGACACCTACCGCACCCAGAATCGGGGCGGGAAGGGCGTTCGCGGCATGACGACGCGCGAAGACGACGCCCTGATGGACCTGGTCGTAGTTGACACGCACGACACCCTGCTGTTTTTCACCAACCGCGGCCGAGTGTACCCGCTCAAGGCCTACCAGATCCAGGGCGATACTTCCAGAACCAGCCGGGGCACTCTGCTGGTCAACCTCATCCCCATCGCCCGAAACGAGCAGGTACAGGCCATGTTGCCCGTGAAGAATGCGAGGGACAGCGCAATGCTGATCCTTGCCACCAGGTTGGGCGAAGTAAAGGCCCTAAAAGAGGGAGAGTTGACCAACATCAGGCCTTCCGGATTGATCGTAATGGATTTGGAAGACGGTGATGAACTGGTCAGCGTCGCTCAGATTGGTGACGCCGATGAGATTGTGATGATTACCGAAAAGGGACAGGCCATGCTGTTCCAGGTAAGAAACTGTGAAGACCCCCGCAAGAACCTGACGCCACGTTCCCGGTCGGCCGGCGGAGTCAGGGGCATTAGGCTATCCAGTGACGACAAGGTGGTGGGAATGGCACCGGTAACTTCTGACGGTCATCTCCTGGTTGTTAGCCAGGGGGGTTACGGTAAGTCGACTCCCCTGAAGAACTACCCACGGCACGGTCGCGGGGGACAAGGAGTACGCACTTTCAGAGTAAATGACAAGACGGGACCGGTCGCCGCATCCAGGGTGGTCACCGACGACGAGGGGCAGGAAGTGTTCATCATCTCCGCCAAGGCACAGGTGGTGCGCATTAACCTCGAAGACGTAAGGGTAACCAACAGTCGCTACACTCAGGGAGTTATCGTGTGGCGGGACCGGGAACCCGACGATTACGTAGCCTCGGTAGCTTGTTTCACTGAGAACGACTATTCTACCGGCGGGTCCTTGTCGTCCGATACGGTTGCTTCCCAAACCGAGAGTCACTCGATGAACGGTTCGTCATCGGACGGCCATCAGATCGAAGCCCCTTCCGATGATGATACTTACGCAAATAGCGTTGAAGAGGATATGGACGAGAACGAGGAGCCAGAAAACAAAGAAGAATAGCTGATCAACTTAGGGGAATGAATCCCTTAAGACTAAGTACGGGTCAAGAATACAGCCAGCACTGTAGGGAGCTGTCAGCGACGTTACTGATAGCTCCCTTGATTGTGAGCTATTTATTTCATATAATCTTTGCCGTTGACTTGTTCGAGCATTCTAAATGAGTTTAAGCGCGAACGATTTACTTTATTCGGAGAAGACACGGAGGACGTTAAGTGAAGCTCGTATTCATACATGGGGCTGGAAGTTCAAGTCTGGCATTCTATTACCAGCTGCAACACTTTCGAAACTCCAAGGCCTTGGACTTGCCAGGACACCCTAATGGCCGCCCCTGCCCAAGCATAGAGCAATACCTGGAGTGGGTTAGAGGGTTTACCACGGCGCGCAGGTACAAAAACATGGTTATTTGCGGCCATTCAATGGGTGGGGCCATCAGCATGCTTTATGCCCTCCGCTACCCTGAGGAAGTACGGGGAATCATACTGGTGGGAACCGGCGCCCGACTCAGGGTTCACCCTGAATATCTTCAGATGGGCCGAGAAGCCACGAAGGACAAGAGCCAGTGGCTGGAGAACCAGATGGGGTATTACACGGGTGTAGCCCAGGACATGGTTCAGTCAATGAAGCGGCGGTCTATGGAAGTTGGGCCCTCAGTTGAGCTTAACGACCTGTTGGCCTGCGACCAGTTTGACGTCATGCAGGAAGTCCAGGACATAGCCCTGCCAACCCTGGTTATCTGCGGTTCCGAGGACACAATGACACCCGTCAAATACGCCGATTACCTCGCAGACAATATACCCGGGGCAAAGAAAGCGGTAATTCCGGGGGCTTCTCACTTCGTTCAAATGCAAAAGTACAAGCAGGTAAACGCAAGCATAGAGGAGTTTCTGGCTTCCTTGAAGTGAGGAAAGAGGTGCTACGATCCGCCACAATAGAGGCAGGTTGAAAGGTAGAGGCCGGGGTTGAAGTTTTTAGACTTGCCCCGGCCCTTTCTTACACTATTCCATCCGATCGGTGGGATGGTACCAACGGCTTTTGTAAAACATCAGAGGATTGTGTTCTTCGTTGCGAATCACTTCTTTCACCTCACCCATATAAACGGTGTGGTCGCCATAAACATGGGCACCTACGACTTCGCAGCCAAAAAACACCATAGAATCCTCGAGCATCGGGATTTCGCCCTCCGCTAATGTGTAATGGTACTCGGTTCCTTCTTGCCGGTCCTCTGGACGCTTGGCAAAGTAAACTCCCAGTTCCTCTTGATTATCGCCTAGTATGTTCACACCGAAACGCCTGTTCTTTTCGACGTAGCCGTAAGTATGAGTGCCATGGGCAACGCAAATGAGCACAGTGGGGGGGTCCAGACAAACTGATGTGAAGGAATTAGCGGTCATCGAATGGGGTTCCCCGTGGTCATCCAAGGAGGTTACTACGGTTACACCGGTAGCGAAGAGGGACATTGCCGACCTGAAGTCGTCTCTACTAGTCAAGATGCCAACCTTCCCTTTGCGGATTTGCCCAATTATAACCTCTGCCAAGGCAACTCGCTACTGCGACCACAATTGTTTCTGGAGCAAACCCGATATCTGCGGCAAGCTGAAACCTCCTCAACTGGATTGCCATTGCAACGATCAGGGAGGCCAAGGCAGGAAGCAATCGCCAATGTTCTCGGAGGAGGTACCGGATGCCAGTCCCTGGTCGAGCTTGAGAACAGTGCCCTGAGGAATAATGCCCGAAAATACGTCTGGGTGCGTTAGTTGGGCCACGATTTCAAGCCCCGTTACAATTCTCGGGCCCGGTACACTGAAATAAACGTGGTCGATCAGGTAAACCTCACCAGTCTGGACTGCGGGAAGGTCATTCCATCCCCGCTGGGCGGCCAACCAAGGGACTTCGAACTTTTGACGGCGCAGGTCGGAAGAGCACAGATCTATAAAGATCTTCTCGGGAGCACACCCAATAACCTCATCCCAGGTTAAGCGGGTTGCCGGCGCCCCCGGACCAAACATCTCTATATCCCCACCAGCTCGTAGCAACAGGTCAGGTATCCAATGGCCCCCTGCTACCAAAGGATTGATTCCTTCCAGTGAGAAGACCCGCGGCCTGGCCTCAACAGCAGCCACCGCCTGCTCAACAACCCTGACTTTGCTTTCCAGCGCAGACACCAACTCGGCAGCCTGCATTGAAGCGCCACAGGCTTCCCCTATTTTCCTGATGGAGGCAAAAATGCCTTCAACGGTTTTAGGTTGCAATATCACTACTTCCGGAGGCATGGGCATTTGATCCAGAGCGCGGCCCACTGTTTGAGCGTCCACCTCGCAGAAATAGCACAGGTCCTGGGTCAAGACCACATCTGGCGAATTGTTGGCTATCCAATCTCCATCCAACTCATAGGGACTCTCTCCCGCAGCCAAAATCCTGCGCATCATCTCTTCGACTTGTCGACTTGACATTGTGTCGACGTCAATACGACTTCGGCAGACAACTGGCTTTTCCTTTACTTGGGGAGGATAGTCGCAAAGGTCGGTAACGCCAATTATTTGGTCACCAAGCCCCAATGCATAGAGGATTTCAGTGCCGCTGGGCAACAATGAGCAAATTTTCATGAGTGCTCTGGAAGGCAGACCATGAACTCAATCACTATGATGACTCCTGTAATGCCTCACTTATGGAAACAGTGAAAACACATACTGTAGAATATAAGTGTACCGGGTATGACTTCCTGCTGAGAGAAGCCAGCCCAATGGAACGATTTTTCGTTAATGTTAGTCGCGCCAATTAGCGCTCCTGCCGAAATTTCTATCAGATGGTTTCTCTCTCGTCACAAAGACTCCTCTCCTGGACCACCCCCGCCCTCCTGAGGCTCGGGCCTTTCAGTTTCGGCATCACAGGATTTTTTCTGGCGATGGAGACCATCATATTACCCACCTTGGTACTGGATGTGGCCCCGGCTGGCGCGAAAAATTCCCTGCTTGGGGCTTTGGGATTTAGCGGCCTGATTGCAGCGGCCCTGGTTCAGCCTATAGTTGGCTCCTACAGCGACCGGACCAGGTCGCCCCTGGGACGACGCGTGCCCTATATGCTCTGTGGCGTCCTCTTCGTGTGCCTTGGTCTGACCGGCCTTTCGTTCTCTCTAACGGTTATATCCCTATTGATTATCTGGATCTTTATTCAGGCCAACGCTGGGATAAGTACAGCCCCTTACCTTGCCCTCATTGGCGACCTTGTTCCTACCAGCCGAATAGGTGTGGCGTCGTCGCTAAAGATCCTGTCGGACGCCGCCGGGGGGCTAGTGCTGGTCGCAATTTGCGGCAGCCTGACAGTCTATACGAGGGGCCCGAAACCATAATGTGGCTCCGTGTAACGTTGGCCGTAGTGGGCGGCACACTGGTAGTCACGGTACTGATCAGTTCTGCAATAGCAACTACCAGGGAACGACTACGGCGCTCCGAAGCCGGACTACCCTTCGCCACCCAACAACCGGGCTGCACCCGCAGTTACTTTGGTTCCTGCTCTCCCGCTTCCTGTTAATCACCGCAACTTTCATCTTTCCCACCTACGGCTTGTATTTCCTGGGAGATGTGGTGAAGGTGGACAATCCGGCCCAGACTTTGGGGACGGCAGTGATATCTATTGGAGGAGCCCTTGCATTGAGCGTTTATCCGGCAGGTTGGCTATCTGACCGAGTCGGGCGAAAGCCAGTAATAATCTGTGGCGCAATTGGCGCTGCAGCGGGGACGATTGGGATTTTCTGGGCAAACAATACTGTTCAAGTGGTGGCCATATCCAGCGTTATAGGGCTCTGCATCGGACCGGTGCTTAGCGCCAGTTGGGCATTGGCCAACGAACTGGCCTTGCGGCGGGAAGGCAGACATATGGCCATCGTCAACCTTGCTACCATTGGCGGTGCCGCTTTCTCCAAGACCCTGGGCCCCCTGGTGGACCTGTCCAACAACCTGGTATCCACCGGGGCAGGATATGCTGGCCTGCTGATTATTGGAGCTGCCCTCTTTATTCTCGGCAGCATCCTGCTTTTGCCCTTGAACCAAAAGCTTGTCGTTGCGGAGGCTGTGGGGGAGGCGGCATTCGATGAAGCGGGACAAGAAAATGACCCCAGCACCCTATAGCAAGACTCTTCTTCAGCTGCTTAACCCTTCTTGCGCCGAATTCAGTTACCGGGCTGGGAAATTTTCGCCAAGAATTCTGCTGAACTTCGAACTATCCAGCCATTGAATGAGGTCATCAGAAACCTCACGCCTTTCTCAACGTATTCTGATGCGTTAGCGTCATTGACCAAAGTGCCGGCAGTCCGTCCCGAGTCGACAATGCGCGCAATGGCAGCATCGATCGCGGCTTGAACTTCGGGATGTCCGGGGTTACCGAGATGACCCATGGTCTGGGCCAAGTCAGATGGTGCCACAAAGAAAACGTCTATATCATCTACCTGCAAAATCTCGTCCAGATTTTGCAAAGCCTCTACCTCTTCCAAAAGTACAACTACCATGCTTTGGTCGTTGGCTGCCTGGAAGTAATCGGAAACCCCGTACGACTGACGCCCGCCAAACATTCCCCGGTAACCTAGCGGGGCATACTTAGCTGACTGCGCCGCTTTCTCCGCCTCCGTCCTGTTGTTCACATGGGGAGTAACAATTCCCATGGAACCCTGTCCAGGGTCCGAGTAATCAACCAGGGTTCGTTGGCGTTAACCCGGGTAATTGGTGTAACGCCCCACAGATCACAGGCTCTCGTCATGTCACCCACTGTTCCCAGGTAACTCCGCCGTGTTCGCACTCGATCCAAATCCGTCGAACCCCAGGGGCCCAAGGAAGTCCACCATCTCGCTGTTCAAATTACCGGATATAGTTACGGTGACCTGGCCCTCTGCTAATTTTTCCTTAAGGTGATTCTTTCTTGTGTTAGGCATATGTTCGTTGGCTCCTGGCTACTTTACCCGGATATCTATGTCTAGCCTGTTCTCTTTTCTTCGTAACCTCTGGGGGTGATCATTCGACCATTAAGCAGGTAAGTGGTTGAATTTCCTATGATTACCGTAGTGAACATGTCGACTTCACTGCTGAGCGGCTCCAGACCGCCCAAATCAGTCAGAAGTATCCGCTGTTCTTTGCGGTACGCCTCCCGAACCAGGCCTACCGGAGTATCCACTGGTCGTTGCTCCATCAAAATACGCCGCGCTTCCAACAACTGCCAGTCACGCCGTCGACTGCGGGGATTGTACAGGGCAACGACAAAATCGCCCATCGCCGCCGCTTCCAAACGTCTTTGGATGGCCTCCCAAGGCGTAAGCAGGTCACTCAGGCTGATGGCGCAAAAGTCCTGCATCAATGGAGAACCCAGAAGGGAGGCTGCCGATTGCAGGGCTGAAACCCCTGGCACAGTAACAACTTCCGGGGAAATACCGTCCCAGTTCCGGTCGGTGAGGATGCGAAATACTGGCCCGGCCATCCCATAGACCCCGGCATCTCCCGATGAAACTACCGCTACAGAACTGCCGGCATATGCCAGTTCAACGGCTTTGGCAGCCCGTTCCAGTTCCTGCCCGAGTTCCATGGACACAACTTCCTTCCCTTTCGTGAGGGCAGAAATCTGCTCCATATAACCACGAAGTCCCACGACTACATCGACTCCCTGCAACACGGCTGATGCTCCGGGCGCCAGTAGGTTGGGATCTCCTGGGCCGAGGCCCACCAAGTATAGTCTCCCGCCTTCAGAGGTCATTGACTAAGTTTCCTTTGGAACGAATTAAGAGAACCGATGACTATAAGCCACAGTTACCGATTGGGAACCCGGGCCACCGCTACCGTAGCCCGATCAGTCTTTTCTCGGGTTACCAGCAACTCGGAACTGTCCGATGCTAGCAGTGCCGCCGGTTCAGAAACTCCCCATACTCCCAAGAGGCGGTGGGCCACCGTTGATGGAGTGGGTGTGCCGACCGGCGATTCACCGGTCCGACCTTCTACCCTGGAAAGAGTCTCCATTCTAACGTTCTGAAAGACATCGTTCAGACGGTCCGGCCCATAGCAGACCACCGGAACCTCGTACCTACCGGCCAGTTCCAAGATACCGGCTTCATCCCGCTTAATATCCGCTGTTGCTATGCACTTGATGCACTTTAGTGACAGGTTGTGCTTGCGAAACGTGTATGTCAGCAGCTCTTCCAAATGCTCCCTGGAAACTCCCCGGCGGCATCCCCATACCAACCACGAGACTCTTCGGGCGATAGATCACCGAGGGGACAGCCCTGGAACTATCTCCTTCTAAAGGTAAAGTATTCCGGCCTGGCAAGTAGTCCCTATCTGTGATTATCAGGGCTGCGACACACTCTGACCGGTATAACTCTTTCAGGCTGGTATAGGTGGATAAATTCTGGGGGAAAGGCGTATCAACAGGCCACCAATCTCTTTCACCCTCTTCCTGGAAAATCCCAACGGCCTCTCCATTAATTACCGAGGCGCTTACTCGGGTGACGGTAGTTGAATCTGCCTCCAATTTCCAACCCAATTCTCGTCCCAGTAGATCCACAGCCAGTGTTTCTCTAACATGGGAGGCCGAAGTGATAACGGCAGTCGCCCCGAGAATCCCCGCGACATTCTGGGCTAACTCATCGCCGCCGCCGACGTGGCCTGAAAGAAGGCTTACGGCGAATCGGCCACCGTCATCCACGCAAACAACGGCCGGGTCGCTGTGTTTGTGCTGCAACAAGGGGGAAAGGAGGCGAACCGCCGCACCTACAGGCATGAACAATATAAGCTGCTGGTATTCGCGGAAAGCCTGCGAAATCACTGGTCTGAGGGGCAGGACAAATGTCTCTATTGAAGCTCCTAGAGGATTTGAGACCTCTTCGGAATACCGATCAATCAGGTGAACTGTTACGTCACCTGACATAGCACCTGCCAATTTTCCGGCCAGTTCAACACCGCTCCGGGAAAGTGCAATAAGCCCAGTTCTCTTCTGAGTCGGAACCATTTCTCCGGTACCGGCTTCGACAGGGCTGCCGGAGTCAGGGCTGTTCACAAGACTCCTAGTTCGACCCACCGGCGCCATTAACTGTCGCCGGCGCCGTGACTGTTTCAGCTTCCTCAGTCTTGCCCCAGTTCCTGGAGCGCCGGAACAAGTGGGTATAGCTCCCTGAATAGAGGTGGGACTTAGCAAATTCCTCGTCCGAAATGAGGGAAGGGTCCCGAAGATCGGGATCCAAAGCCTTTCCAACCAACACGAGCGCTTGGCGAGTTATCTTGGCGTCTCTGACCTTGGCAGCGATATCGGACAGCGTGCCTCGAATAAACTGTTCGTCTTCCCAACCCACCCGGTATGCTATGGCAACAGGGGTATCTTTCGCATAACCGGCCGCCTCAAGGTCACGAACTATTCGGGGCATCCGCGTTATGCCAAGGAAAATTACCAAAGTGCAGCCGTGGGCAGCCAAGTCCCTAAGTTGCTCCTTCGGGGGCATCGCTATTCGACCCTGGGCACGCGTCATGATAATGGTCTGCGCGACGTCCGGTATGGTTAACTCAGCTTTGAGCTTGGCAGCGGCGGCAAAAGCGGCACTCACCCCTGGTATTATTTCGTAATCCACCCCGGCCGCTTCGAGAACTCGCATTTGTTCGAGCATGGCCCCGTAAACCGAGGGATCGCCACTCTGAATTCGGGCCACGACCTTGCCCTTGTCGGCGGCTTCCAGGGTAACCTGCATTATCTGATCCAGGTCCATATCCTTGCTGCCGTAAACCGCAGCATCATCACTGGCAAGTTCCACAATGGAAGGATGCACCAGCGAATCGGCGTAAATCACCACATCTGCGGATTCGATCAGTCGTTTGGCTTTCAGAGTAAGGAGTTCCGGGTCGCCGGGCCCTCCACCGATAAAGTAGACTTTGCCCTCTGCCATAGCTTCACCTTTTGATGATTAGTAGCGAAAAGTAATCCAGGTCTTCCTCGGTCAGTTGCCGCAGGTCTTGCACCACCTGCTCTCTATCTGTGGTAGCTCGACGCACATATATCCCTTTACCTGCCAGGCCGAGGCTCTCCAAATTGGCCAGTGCATCCAGCAAAACCCGGTTGACCTTCATCAGCACGATAGTATCGTAATTAGCGATGGCTTCCCGCAGGTCATCGATCCCGTAAACCGCAGGGAGGATCGCCAACCGTTGCCCGTGAGTCACCAGGGGCAAACTGGCCCTTGCCGCAGCGGCCATCACCGATGACACGCCGGGAATAATTTCCACCAAAATGTCGGGATGGTTGAGGCGAATGCTTTCCAGAACGTAAGAAAAGGTGCTGAAAAGCATTGGGTCCCCTTCCGTTATGAAGGCAACATCCTGCCCTCCCATTAGCCTCTCGGCAAGGGTTTCGGCAACCGTTTCCCACACCTTGGAAGCCGCTTCAGCGTCATCGGTGGGAAAGCCGAACCGCAACAATTCCTGCCTGTCCGTATCGATAAACTGACGGGCTATAGAAAGGGCGAAGCTATCTCGGCTCGTGTCCGAATGGGGAGTACAGATGATGGGAACATCTTTCAATATGCGCTGGGCCTTGATTGTTACGAGTTCTGGATCACCTGGCCCCACACCGATGCCATACAGGCAACCGTAATTGGGGTTAATCGCTTCACTGCTCATTCAGCACGTCCTCCCGGGAGGGACCTTCTCTCCAGGCGGTCACAACAAAGACCGGGTTCAACGCCTCCAGCCGGACTGACCCGTCGGGCATTTCCTTGCTTCTGGCTGCGTTGATCATACTTATTTCTATCTGAAAACCTTGTTGTTGAAACCATCTGTTAGTTTCGTTGGTCCTTTCAAGGGTTGCAAAGTTGGCTACTACCCGACCAGCGGGTCTCAAGCGACTAGCCACTTTATCCAATATCTCCTGCAATTCGCCGCCACTCCCCCCGACGAATACCGAATCCGGGTCGGGCAGAGCCGCCAAGGCTTGTGGAGCGGCGTCAGCGATTATCTTGACATTTTCACTGGCATAGCGGGCCACATTACTCTGCAGCAGCGGAAGGCTCTCGGTGTCCCGTTCAACGGCATAAACCTTGCCCTGATGGCAGAGTATTGCTGCCTCAACCGAAATGGAGCCCGTACCGGCGCCGATGTCCCAAACTATGCTATCGGGCCGCAACCCCAGGCAATATAGGCTAACCGCCCTGACTTCCCGCTTGGTAATCTGCCCACGCAAGGGCCGACGTTGTTCAAAGTCCTCGTCTCGCAGACCCCAAGATCGTCCTGCTCCATTAACGTCTGCACCCTTGGCTACAACACTGGCCGTTTCCAGGTTCGAGGAATCGGCCTCATCCATATCCTCACGCACCAGCATTGGCCACCAGAGGAACCCCACCGGGTGAAGTGGAAGCATGGCCCAAGAGATTGCCCTCGAAATCAAAGCAAAGAACGTCCACAATCAATGCCTCGGCGTCGTCGCCCAATTGCTTCCGGCTCTCGTCACACACCATCCGGCACATCAAAGGAAATACGGACAACAAGCCATGCTCCTGGGCTATTTCCTGGAAGTGGCGAGCACTGCTGGCTCCTCGTATCTCTTCCTGCACCGCCTCGGAAGCGCCACACTGGGCCGCCAAGTCAGCCAGGAATTGGGTGTCCACCTGGTTTCCGGCTACGTGGGTAACAAAATATCCCATCGCCATCTTGGACAACTTACCGACCATGCCCACGTGGGCAGCCCGGCCAACATTTCGCATTACGCAACGTTTCATCGCCGGCCCGCTGAATATGCCTGCCTCTATGTAAGCCATATCGGGCAGATCAAGATGTCGCCTGGCATACTCTTCACTTCGCGTGCCAGTGGAAAGCACCAAATGCGAAAGTTCGTTGGTGGCGGCCACGTCGATGGCCAGGTGTACGCTGGCCCGCCATGCGGCGGTGGAGAACGGTTGGACTACCCCAGTGCTGCCCAAAATGGAAATGCCGTTCAGGACTCCCAACCGGGAATTAGTGGTTTTCTTGGCAATCTCTTCGCCACCCGGTACTGAAACCTGGACCACCAACCCCGTGTTCGAGTCCAAACCAAATTCAGAGGCAGCCTGGCCCACAGATTCAACAATCATTCGTCCGGCGGAAACACGGGGTGAAAGAAGTTCACAAACTTCAATGACCGGACAAAGGACGACGTTGCGTGGTACCGACCAGGACAAACCAAAAAAGACAAAGATAAAAAAAAGAGGAAAGAAAAGAGGAAGGAAAGAAAGAAGAAAAGAAGAAAGGAGAAAAGAAAGCAAAAAAAAAAAGAAGAGAAGGAGAGAGAGAAAAGAGAGAAAAGGAAGAAGAGAAGAGGAAGAAGAAAGTAATAGGGACCAAAAGAGAAGACAAAGAGAGAAGCAAGAGAGGGACGAAGAAGGAAGAGCGAAAAGAGAAAAGGGAAGAGGGGTGAGAGATAAGATAAGAAGAGAGGAGAAAGAGAAACAGAAGAGGGGTGGAAGGAGACGCAGAGCAAAACACAACGCCTCATAGGCAACGTGCGTATAGGGTCCAGCCCCTACCTCTCTAACCTCTCACCTCACAACGACTCAATCTTACCGATCTCCAACTATGAGGGACGCCAGGAGGCAGAGAGTCTGGGGTCCTCCATACAGTGCAGCAAATTTCTGCCCCGTGGGTAACGTCAGGGTAGTCGCGCCGTTCATTGGTAACGGAGAAGTTACCCTATCACCTTCTCGGAACACTGGCAGTAGTGCAGTTGATTAACATGAAAAGTAAACATCGCTCCCCATTGGAAAGCGGATGCGTTGATTATGTGAGACGGCGCACCGGGGGTTTACCCAGTCAACAATGCCTGGGTGGTAGCCAAGCTTTTGCCGCCGCAGCCGCACACAGATCCGGGGGGGGTAGGGGGGGGGGGGGGGGGGGGGGGGGCGTGGGGGGGCGGTGGGGGGGGTGGGGGGAAGCGAGGGGCGGGGGGAGGCGGGCGGGGGGGGGGGCAGGGGGGGCGGCCGGTAGGTCGGTGGGGCGGGGGGGGGTCGGGGGGGGCTGTCAGGTCGCGTCGGTGCGGGGGGGGGGGGGACGGGGTTGGTAGAGGTGGAGGTGCGTGGGGTGGGGGTCGGTGGGTGGTGGCTTGGCTAGGTGGGGGGGTTTAGGTGGGAGTGGGGGTCGCGGTAAGGGGGGGTGGGGGAGGCCCCGGGTGGGGGGCGGCGGCAGGTAGGCGCCCGGGGGGTGGTTTGGGTTGGTAGTGGTTGGGGGGGTGGTGGGCGGTGGGGGAGGTGGGGCGGAGGGTGGGTAGGTGGTGTGGGTGTGGTGGGGGGTGGTGGTGGTGGTGGGGTGGGGTGGTGGTGGTGGTGGGTGGGTGGTGGGGTTGGTTGGGTGGGTGGTAGGGGGTTGGGGTAGGGGGGTAGTATCAAACCGGTGCGTAACTGTCGCCGCCTGATAGTCTGGCGACTGTAATCGCTTTCCGGACGCTCTTCTCTGTCTGAGTTTTCGGTCATCCTGTCTATTTACCACTCTGGACCGGATTGGGAAGAGAACGACAAACACAAAGCCCCTGAGGGCCCTGCCTAACCATCACCTGCTAGGCTATCAACTTCCTGCCCATATTTGCCGAACCCGGTCTGCAGCTACTTCAATCACTTTGTCATCGACCCCCAGGGGCGGAGCCACGGTCATGGCTACCTCTGGATACTCTTGCCTCAATTGCTCCAACGTTCCCAGGACATTTCGGGTCAATATAATCCCTGGAAAAAAGATGTATGGGACGCAAATAATGGCCGTCGCCCCCCGCTCCTCAATCAAACGAGCAGCGGCAGCCTCCATAGTTGGATCGCCGTAGTGAGACTGCGCAACATCAACCACGTAACCCTGACCCATGGCTTCTTCTACCATTTGGCCCAACTCTACAAGCCAACGGCAATCGTCATACTGGGTGCGGGTTCCGGCTTTAACGATCAAAATGCCAACAGTCTCACCTTTCCCTGGAGTCGGCGCAGCAGTTTCCATGTTGCCAATGCGTTCCACCATTAACGCTGCCAACCTGGGGTCTGCACCAAGCCCATCCGCCAGGATCAAATCTACCTTGGGCATTCGGGCGCCCGGATATCGTCCAGCATCTCGTCCATTTCGATAGTGGCGTGTTTCCCGTTTCCCAGCAGGTAAGGCATCACGACTATCCTGTTGGTGCCCTGCTCGGATAACAACCGCACTGCTTCGCCCGGAAAGGGTTCTATGAATTCCAAGCATGAAAGAATCACGTGGGCCCGCTCCCGGCCCAATACGGCCTGAAGCCTTCGAGCCGCCTCGCCCAATCCCTGAGGAGTGTTTGGACAGCGCCGGCACCAGCCGGGCCAGCCAGGTGAATCCGCAACCCCGCTTCCTTCTGTTGGGCCACCCATTCTTGTGGTCTCTGGCTGCTGCCAGGCACAAGAACACTCTCGCGGACTGGCACCCCGCTGGCTTCCGTGTCCCAGCAGTACAACTCCCCAATCAGGTTGCACCCCGGCCGTCAATTCAACTTCAACCCTGGCTGCCACCTGCCCGCCGTGCTGGTGACCATGTCCGTGAGTGTGTTGATCGCTCAATTGGCCTCCCGACTTGTCGGAGCGCCGGCAAGTTCCAAAAGGGCATTAACAGTAGCGGCAGCCGCGGAACTGCCGCCGCGTCGGCCTAAAATGGAAATGTACGGGATTCCCCTGCTAACCAGTTCATGCTTTGATTCCGGGCAGGCAACAAAGCCAACTGGCATGCCGATAACCAGAGCCGGAGATGCCGACCCCGAATCTACCAGGTCCAGAAGCGCCAAAGCGCGGTGGGAGCGTTGCCGATGGCAACCACAGCACCTTCAAGATGAGGCGCCAATTCCCTGACTGCTGCTACGGATCTGGTGGTCTTTTCCCTTTGGGCGCGGGCAGCCACTTCAGGCACGTCAATGAGGCAGCGAGTAGCGACTTGCTGCCGGCTCAAAAGCGCCTTGGAAATGCCCATTTCGACCATTCGTACATCGGTGACCACATCTATTTTAGCCTTTAGCGCTGCCAGACCGCTTGCCACGGCACCCGGGCTAAAACGCACCATCTCGGCAATGGCCGGGTCCCCTTCGGCCCTCACTATCCGGCAAAGCACATAGTGCTCCTCCGGCGGCAGATTGATCCCCCCGGGCAGATCGGCCTGGACCATTTTCAGGCTCTCCCGGTCGATTTCTTCGGGCAAGAGAGCGTATTTTTCAACCAGCGTCATCTTAGTGATCACTCAAATCCGAAATGCCAGCCTGCCATACGGCAAGGGTTCCTTCTATACCACTACCACGTTAACCAGGCGACCTGGCACGTAAATAGCTTTGTCCACAACTTTTCCTTCGGTGTAGGGCTGTACCTTGCTGCTGGCAAGGGCCAGTTCGTGGGCAGTGGGCTCGTCAATATTCGCCGGCACTTCTATGCGGTCCCTAACCTTTCCATTCACCTGGACCACCAAAGTGATTGTTTCGTCGGCTGCCAGCGATTCGTCCCAGGCAGGAAAGCTCTGTTGGTGAATGCTATAAGCGTGACCCGTCTGCTCCCACAGTTCCTCCGCGATATGGGGAGCGATAGGAGCTAGCATTAACAGGAACTTCTCGATGCATTCCATCCAAGTGTCCGAATCAACATTTGCCTCGGCCCAGACCTTGCTAAGGTGATTAACCAACTCCATTAGTGATGCAATGGCAGTGTTAAACTTGAACCGATCCAAGTCGCCGTGACACTTGCGCACCGTCTGGTGAAGAATTCGAAGCGTGTCTTTAACTGCCTGTGCATCAACAGGCGACGACTCAAGGTCTTGTGGGTCCCTCGACACCAGTGCCCAAACCCGGTTGAGCCAGCGCGCAACGCCATTTATGCCAACGTCGCTCCAAGGGCCACCCTGGTCCCAGGGCCCGATAAACATCAGGAAGCAGCGGACCGCGTCCGCGCCCATTGTGCCAATAACATCATCCGGGTTTACCACATTTCCACGACTCTTGCTCATCTTCTCGTGGTCAGAACCCAGGATCACGCCCTGATTGAAAAGGCGAAGGAATGGTTCGTCAAAATCCACCAATCCTATGTCCCGCATGGCCTTGATAAAGAAACGGGCATAGAGCAGGTGCATAACCGCGTGCTCAGCGCCACCGGTGTATTGGTCTACCGGAAGCCATTGCTTGAGGATGTTCGGGTCATAGGGGCCATCCCCGAACTTGGGGCACGTGTAACGAAGCATGTACCAGGACGAATCTACAAAGGTGTCCATGGTGTCCGTTTCACGGAGAGCGGGTCCCCCGCATGTAGGGCAGGTGGTGTTGCGAAAGGCCTCGTTTCCAGCCAATGGGGGACTCGCCTGTGGGCTTGAAATCTGCATCTTCCGGCAGCAGCACCGGCAGATTCTCTTCAGGTACCGGCACCGCACCGCAACCTTCGCAATAGACTATCGGTATTGGAGTACCCCAATACCGTTGGCGAGAGATCAGCCAATCTCGGATCCGGTAAGATGTGGTGCGATGACCCCAGCTATTCCTCTCCACATCATCAGCGATGGCCGCCATGCCTTCTTCATTGGTCATGCCTTCGTATTTCCCTGAATTGGTCATAAAACCGCTGCCCAAATAGGCCTCTGTCGGCTCTTTGCCGTCCCAGTCAATGGACGCAATTACTACTCGAACCGGAAGACCATTTTTGCGCGCAAAAGCATAGTCTCGGTCATCGTGGGCCGGTACGCCCATCACCGCGCCGGTTCCGTATGTAGTTAGAACGTAATCAGCCGTGTAGATGGGGATACGTTCACCATTCAGGCGGTTGGTGGCGTAAGTCCCGAGAGGCACACCAGTCTTTTCTTTTTCGGTGGAAAGCCGCTCAATTTCTGACGTCTGTCTGGCCTGATTGACGTAAGTCTCTACCTGTTCCCGCTGACCGTCGGTCGTGAGCAATGGCACCAGAGGATGCTCTGGAGCCAGAACCAAAAAAGGTCACTCCGAAGATAGTATCAATGCGGGTGGTGAACGTACGAATTTCCTTCTCTTCCAGGCCGTTATGAGAAATATCGAAGCTGATTTCGACGCCTTCGCTGCGACCGACCCAGTTTCGCTGCATCATCAGGATTTTCTCGGGCCAATCCACCAACCCACCGAAATCCAACAGTTCATCAGCGTAGTCAGTGATTTTAAGAAACCATTGTTCCAGGTCGCGTCTGGTCACCACGGCATTGCAGCGTTCGCAACTGCCGTTCAGCACTTGCTCGTTTGCCAGCACCGTCTGGCAGGATGGACACCACACCACCGGCGCCTTGGAACGATAAGCCAAGCCATGCTCAAGAAACTTCAAAAAGAACCATTGGTTCCAGCGGTAATATTCGGGCAGGCAACAAATGACCTCCCGGTCCCAGTCATAAATGGCGCCGATGGACCTGAGTTTCCTTGTTTTCTTCCAACCTGCTGACCCTTGTTTGATGGTCAGAGTTTCTCCTCTGAGTGCGCTTGGGCCCCTCTCCTTCACTCTTTTGCTCTCGTCCAGTTGTAGGGATGAATTCCCCTGCTTATAGCCGCGTTCTCCGCTGGTAACACCAACGCGTCAACCCATTGGATGCACAGACGTTGTAGCGCGCATCCGGCGAAAACGGCGGGCACTCAGAGGCGCGCCATTAGCTACAAGGGTCAATGCCCGATATGGAGGTCACCGGAAGGATAGGGGTACATAGTCAGATGTCTAAACCATTTAGAACGGAATCGTATCGCATCACGTGAATCCAGATCGTCCTATTCGCCTCAGCGTTCTTCAGCCACTTTCGAGGTCGACTATCAACCGGTTGTAGCGCAGTTCAACTGCCGTGGAGTGGAACGATGTCCTTTATTGTTCACCTCAGAAGCCGAGCGGCTGACCCTATAGTAGATCACCGAACTATGATCCCGACGCGAAAACTGCCCGCTTCATTGGTTGGGAAAGGGTATAGGAAAAGCGGCGCGTTCCCAGAGTATCTACCTCGTGCATATAAACCTGCGATTGACACTCTTCAGCCTCCAATCTAGAATCTGGTTGGCTGCTTTCCCTCTGCTTTAGTGTTTTCTCCCTTGTTTCTTAAGAGTTAAGCCATCCAAATCATTTAATACCGCCGAGACTATTGGTGAGTCCAAACCGCCCCAGGCTTCCACACGACACAGTCATCCGTTTGCCCAGGGCCGCCGAGTTGGAGCCCAAGGTATTCGGGGAATTGCCAGAGCGGCGCCCCAGACGCGTCCTGACCCCTCCCTTCGTTCTCTTATATGGGTTCATCGGGCTCATTGCCGCTGGCGCCATTCTCTTGGCATATATGCGATTTCAAAGCCAGTCGGCAGTCCACTATCTCCCTGATAGTGGACGCTCTTTACTTCCCCGGCGCCGTTACTGTTACCGCTGCGTCACCGCCGTCAGCACACGCTCAGCACTGGAGCTCTTTGTCAAGCCGTTCATCTTCGTTCTATGCTGGTTGGCTGCCTGGGCTTTATGGCAGACCGCTAACCTTTGTCTTGCTTTGATTGCCAACTTCCAGCATTCCGAACAGTTTGTCCTCGTGAGAATATTGGCGGAGACCAACTGGGGGGTTTGCGGGAAAGACACGGATATCTGGATAGTCTGTCCTACTGATCTATTTGTGGGGCGGGCATCTGTTTTACTCGGCATACAGGAAATCAGGGAATTCGGAATCATCGAATCAGATTTGCATTTCGAGTTTTCCTGTCTGTTTCTCCTTCAACAATGCAGGGTTTGTTCTTTCTATAATCCTGAAATATTGACAGCAGTCACTAGCCTTCTGGAACCGGTGGCAATACAGAGTGCGATGGCGCTGATGAATTCTTGGCGTGCATTGTTTGGACAGTCATTGTTGACGTTTATCGTCGGCGGCGATTTTCCGGCTCTAACTGATACCAGCTGTGATTATTGCAAGCCTGTCCATCTGGGGCTGGGATTTGGCGCCTCTTCCTGCAGATTTTGTCACATAGGCGACCATGCGACCTTTCACTATTTTAGCGGTGGTGAGTCCATGTTTCATTCCATCAGTGGAAGGCAGTGGGCTTAATCATTGGGCCATTTGGCGCTGCGGAGGAATGTTCATCAAGTTGTATTACTTTCTGATGCTGATAGGGGTGCGTTTCGGGGTCGTCGCTGGGGGAATCAAGGTGTATATCGCTGGCTTGTGGGTTTGTCGCCGCCGTGATATCTTTCCATTAGATTTCGACCTCAAACCGAAGCCTTCGTGCGCGAAATCCCCAGACCCAGTTGTCAGGGTATTGGCGATAGGTGAACTACTCGCGTTGGCGTTTATTACGGTAAACTTTGCCGATTACTGCGATTTACCGAAGCCGTTTTATCGTGCGCTCTGGATGACTCGAATTTCGTTGACTGTTTTTTGACACTGTTTCCGCGTTTGCTACAAATGGTTCATTTCTACTGGCATAGTTCGCACTCAGCACTATAGGACAGTTGATCCTTTAGGCGCTTATGTTCGTAGGGTAGAATTGGACACTTACCCTCGGATTGTTAACTCTTGCTCCTCAGAGCAAATGCTGTATCGCTTTTTTTTGTGGCCCAGGACGGGTTAAAATAGGCTGACGGAGGATCTGGAGAAGAACGCGTTTTGTGTCATGGGATGGGTCGTTTCTGAATTGGTGTTGCTGAAGGAGCTGTACCAGGCCAGGGCCCGATGTCCTGGCTTTGGATACTCGACGAAGAAAAGTAACAGGGTATGTTGGGTTGAGGCGCTACTATACGCTTCGCGAAACGACGCCACCACGAAACAGCGCTTAGACAGTTGGGGGTTCCGAGTACGATCACTTGCGGTATTGACTCCTCGGCGCCGAAACGTGCAGATCCAGCATCCTGATCCCTGGTACCTGAAAGAGCAATAGATATTCCCTGTCATTTGTCGCTCGGCAGCCACCGAATTGCACAACTAGCGAAGCCCGGAAAGGATTGGCGTAACCGCAGTAAATTTTAATCCTGAAGAGGAAATGCCGCCGCGGCGGCCTAGCCACGTGGACTATCAACGCTGGCCCATCACCTGAGATTAATATGAGATATCTCTCCATGTAGGCATCAATCACAAAGTTGCGCCCCGCCCCACCTTACCAGAAATGGTTAGAAGGACCTGGAAGAAAGCTGGCCATCACAAACATCGCTGGCAAAGTGCACAATGGCGGATCAATCACTGACCTGCATACTGATCTTCGCCGGGGACGCCGCGTTATACAAAACAATCCTTATAACCTTCAAAGGATGAGACGATTTTGCCCCAAGGCGAAAAATGTGCTATTGTAGCGGGCCCCCCAGTGAGCAGAGTTCCGAAAGTTCTTGTCCACCGGCGACGGGCGACGGTCAGCAGGCCACAGCCGTTAAGGCAGTGGCCTGTCAGGCGTTCATTATTATGCCTGCGCAAGACCGACCAGCCGCTCCGCCATTTTGGCACCATAAACGGTACACAAGCCAGTGACAGTACGCTCTTCAGATGGTCCTGCCAACTATCGCTCGCACACAGTCCAGTTTGGCCGAACCTCCTGGCAATATAGTGGTCTTTGAGAATCCATGTAGTTCCCGTGGGAACCTTAACGAGGCCGCCGTGCCTGCTATAAGGGAAAAGATTCTCCCACTCAAGTCGAGGAGATCGCAAACTCTGAGCGTATTGCACGTGGTGGGGAAGTCAATGCGGTATGTAGCGCCAGAAACGCACGGACCCAGCCATCGTGTATAGGCGAGGCTTCAGGAAACAGTCACTTGACTTGTTATTTGTCGACACCATAAATTTCGTCGACCCATTTCCCTCTGTCCCTTCGGCGTGACACACTGACTTCATCCTGAAAATGCCTCTTACTGCCATGGTATTTGGGTGGCCAGGGAACCGTCACCTTTTGTTCCCATTGAAAAGACTACCCCGTGCGCAATCCTCCCATCTAACGTTGTACCCGCCTGACCGATTTTTTGCGTTGCCCCAGTCTTGATACAAGAGATGGGCATCATGTAACCGTATGGACGCCACGACCGTGATCGCTTAGCAACTCCTCAGTAAGCAGTACTTAAGTAACACCCAGTTGGGTCGCCGAGCCGGTTATCCATGACTACTGCTGCAGGGATAATTCAGCACGCGCGCCGAACGCTTCCTTTATCCTGACCAATGAGACCACAAGACCCTCTCCTGATGCTATCCAGATTGCACCCATATATACCTGGTGCCCAAGCGTGATGTGCCGGAATCACAGATCCTCAGCTTCACGCGTTACAACCATTTGGTCACGGATAACAATGTTGGACAGGCGATCACACGATTTCCTGAGCTCGAGCCCGGGAGTTTCCGGACAAATCGGGCCTCAAAAATGTTTGTAATAATCTGTAGGCTGC